CTCTTAATCCTGTAATTTATTTTCCTTCCTATCTCTTCTTCCTTTCATACCAAATAATTAATACATAAATAAAAAGCTCATTGGTAACCTATATATTCGGCTTATCAACCTTATCCTGTCAGTTTTTATATCAAACATGTAATTTTTTATTTCGCGAATTGAATTATGTAAAAATCAAGATAAGTAAGATTAGGGTTACTTTTCTAGCCGAATTGGAGGGAATTGCTGAAGATGACTATTTTAGCTATATTCTCACATACAAACTTATAGTTTTTCGAAAATATTACTAATATAAAACATATTTACAGTAATATGATTAAGGATACTATAAGTATAATGTCACAATATAATCACTTATTTTTGCAAAATGTCATAGTCACTATTAAAGTCACTACACTTAAGATGTAGTCACTAATATGATTTTAGCTATATTGCTGAAGATGACTATTTTAGCTATATTCTCACATACAAACTTATAGTTTTTCGAAAATATTACTAATATAAAACATATTTACAGTAATATGATTAAGGATACTATAAGTATAATGTCACAATATAATCACTTATTTTTGCAAAATGTCATAGTCACTAATAAAGTCACTACACTTAAGATGTAGTCACTAATATGATTTTAGCTATATACTCACATACAAACTTCTATTTCAAATGACTATTATAGTCACTACACTTAAGATGTCACATTTTTTCTGAACACTCTTTATCTTAGTCATAAATTTATAATTATTTCATAATTTTATCTTTGTTTCACTAATAAAATACATTTTAAATTTAATTTTTTTCACAATTAAACACATTCAGTTAATTCAATTTGATTTTCATCAATTTAAGCAGATTCGGACAATTCAGCTAATTTCAATATTGACAAACTTTTTTGGTATCACTTCACTTACGTCAATATTGTGTTATAACTTAGTTTTATTATATCAAACATTATATACTTACATTATATTTTCAAGATGTAATTGCCAATTTCATATATTTTTTATTGGTTAGATAATAACAATTTTGAACACTGAATTGAATTCTACTTTATTTCTACTTTATTTTTTTATATGAAAGACATCTAAAGGTATGCTTGGGAGTTTAAGGTGAGGGGTTACAAAGGAATCACAATTAAAATTATTTAAAATGTATATTAGCTAAACTTATATTCATTTTGAGTTCAGCTAAAATTATCATTTAATTTGTTATCTTTCAAAAACTCTCAATTTGAGAGAACTGAAAAATTAAATCATCAGAAGTCTTTTGGAGAGAGTTACAAGAACCTAGAAAACTATCCATTCCAATTTTTTAAACCTGGAGGTTACTTCCTAATTCAAAACAAAATAGATAAAGCCCCAAAAGCAATTTCTATAAATTTGGATGTTACTCTTCAAATCAAAGCAAAAATAGATAACACCGCTAAAACAATTTTGTTGAATGGTAGTTCCAATTTGTTAATAAAAAAATATTACTCCCTATTGTTTATTAATTAACTTCAGGAATTGACACTTCAAACCAAATTGCTAAAAATTAGAGCAAAATGGTTTGCAATTGTTAAATTGCAAAAAAAGAAGAAGTAAGATCGATTAAATATCATTCGACTCTGAGACTACACACATCGAAACACCAATCAGGCAATTAGCTAATTCAGATTCTGGTCCCTTATCATTAATAATTTCATTCATTTTCAAGCCCACAAGGACTAATGCACATTAAAGCTTTTGAATATTCATTCTCATACCTCAACAAAATATTAGCATACATATTAATTTGTTTTTATTAATATCATAGCAATACATGATTCTATAAAAATTCTCAGTCTCTATTGACATTTATTATTTAATATTTAATACTTCCTCTGTCTTAAATCTCAATTTACATGTCCTATTTTTTTTTGAGTTGTCTTAAAATAAGTGTCACAATTGCACTTTACTATACTCAAATGTCAACTACAACTTTTAATTTTAACCATTTTATTTATAATTGTGTGCAACTAAAGAAAGACACATAAAATGGGATGGATGTAGTATTGTAAAGAGTAGTATTTATCAAAGTGACACTACCGGGGCATGCCCCGGGTGTTACACTAGTATTAATGTATAATAAGGAAGTTCATATAGCGTATAAATTAATAGTAGTTATCAAGAAATAATTTATTATATGATTGATTATAGCTAAGATGTTTTTACTTGGACTGTTTTCAGTTCTAAACCAGACCAGTTCAGACTAGACCAAACCAGACCAGATCATACCAGACCTGGATAGTTATAAAAATAATAAGATAAAATACATTACCAGACCAGTTCAGACCAGACCAGATCAGACCAGAGCAGTTCAGACTAATTCAGACCAGATCAGACCAGCAAATTATAGTCCAAGTGAAATGACCTTTGATTTTTACTTTTTCTGAAAAAATGATTATTTGAACATCAATTTAGTCGGGTCTACCTGGCCCTTTTCATTGACCCGTTGGGTCCAATTTTGGAAAACTTATCTAGGCTTGTCATTAATGGGTTCGAGTATGGGACACAAGCGTTTAGTTAAGAAATAATGACACGGATGAGACACACGGGTTTTGAAAAGACAAATATAGGATCAGATTCCAATTTGACCAAAAAGAGACTGACTATTAATTAATGGACTGATATGCCCTTAATATAAATAGATAAAATAAGTCTTCCGCGTCCTCTCTCCTCGCAATTCACGGATCTCCCGCTCAGTCTTCCAATGCACACTTTACTTGCTCGCACAAGCATATATATTCATGGTGGCAGATCTTTATCCTAGCCCTTTCGACCACCATCAAGACTTCTCCTGTTGCGGTGTCAAACGACCTCCATTGCGATGACGACAGGTGACACGATCCATAACGGCGGCAATCATCTTCGAACCATCACTATAGCTACAGATAATTGGCGGCGAAAACCACTGGGATTTCAAGGCGGTCCATGGCGGCAGAAACAAGTTGCAGTGGGTAGGTGCTCTGGATCTGGGAATGAGGCGGCGACTGCTTGGGGAGGGGGTTGGAGGGGCGGGGATGGGGCAGTGGTTATATAGGTGCTTGTGACAGGGTTGTGGCTTGGGAGGGACTGGATCGAGACTGGGGATTGAGCTGGGCTGTGGAGAGGCTGGGCTGGAGGAGGTTTGCTGCCGCAGAGGGGCAGGGGCGGGGTGGTTGGTCACTGGAGGTCACCAGCGGGTAACCGGGGGTGGCGGATGGCGGATGGAGGTATTGGATGGTAGTGGTGTCTAGTGATGGTGGCCGCCGACTGACGGTAATGGTAGTTATGGATGGTCACTGTCAAATCGGGTATGTGTATCGGGCCGGAGAGGTAACTAGTCGGGTGGTTATGTGTAAATGGCGGCCATTATCGTCAGTCGGGTAATTGTAACCGGCAGCAGGTTAGTACAACTTGTCAGACGGGTAAATGTAAGTGATTGTTGGATCGGGTAATTGTTATTGGTTAGATCGAGTAACTGCAATTGATCGGATCGAGTAACTGTAACTAGTTGAATCAGGTAACTGTAATTGGTCGGATCGGGTAACTGTAACTGGTTGAATCAGTTAATTGTAACTGGTCTGATCGAATAACTGTAACTGGTTGGATCGGATAATTGTAACTGGTCGGATTGGGTAACTGTAACTGGTCAGATCGTGTAACTGTAACTGGTCAGATCAGATACTGTAACTATTCGGATCGAATAATTGTAACTGGTCAAACTATGTAACTGTGATTAATCGGAAGAATAATTGTAACTGATTGGACATGTAAGTGTAATTTATCGGATCAAATAATTCTAAATCATATACGGAGTAATAATTTTTTGAGGAATAATATCAAAACAAAATGAATACTTCGTGTTTGAGTATTTTTTATCATTGCCTCGGAGGAACACACGAAAGGAGAGAATCATATTCCGTATTTAGTTCACTGCCTGTTGATTAGGCAGGGGCCGCAGGGCACATTTGACATATTAAATTTAAGTTTCTAAATGATACGCACGCCGGTCTCTTTTTTGGTAAAAATAACAAAAAGACTTATATTTGTCCAAACCCTTTTAATTACTAATATTCATGACCTAATCCCTTTAGTTAAATAGTAAATATTGTAATTTTAAATAATGCCTATGTAAATTTTCGAAGTATATTTATTACATCTGAAAAATATGTTAGTGGATGAATTTTAGGAGACTATTGAATCTAATAATCCATTTCCATGTGAGAATAAATAATCTAGGAAGGATTCTACCATCTCAATTCTCACAAATACTTTCTTACAAAATTTCAGAAATATTTTCTATTTTAAGCTCATGCATTTCGATTGTCTCTCCTTAGTTTTATAACCTTACTCGCATGTACATATGGTCATATAACTAATAACTGTGTTCATGTTAAGAACTATCCTAGGGAAAAGTTTATGTTTTGACAAAAAGTGTACACACCAAAAAAGATTGTCATTGACGACAAATTTTCTTCAAAAGTGTATCTTATGGAGAAAAATCCTTAACATGGACAAATTTATTAGTTATCTATCAATGAGTAAAAGTAGTAGAACTAAAAGCGAAAACTATCAAAAATAAAATCTATAATTTTCTTCAAAGGTAAATTGAAAGTTATTTAACTCTCTGTAGAGGATAAGGAACTAAAAACACATTTTAAAAAATGCAAGAGCATAAATGATAATGCTATAATCCATCATACTTCAATAGAAGTAAATGATCATTTCCCTAAATTTTAAAACAAAGTGGATTCCGGAGGGGTGAAACCATTTTGTAGTGGGTGCACAATTGCACATGAGTCGAAATCCGTGACATGTGACTCTGCAGTAAGTATAAAATATGTCTCAGCTGTTTTATCAAAATTTACCTATCCATCAGATCACAGGGCTAGAATTCTTTTGATTTTGTTTTAGAAAATTCGCTTTGTGCCAAACACATGGGGAGCAGTAATTCATTTTTAACTTGAAAAAAGGTGTGTTTAAGTTCCCAACAGGCCTGCGTTTTGCTCATCACATGCTCTCCATTGCAACCTCTACCGACCAACCAGAAATCCCCCCACACTCCCCCAATCCTCATCTCAATTCTCAAGTACTTCAACCCAGTCATTCCATCCTGTGATCTCCCATGGAAAGAAACAAACCAAAAATCTGAAGAAAAAAAATCAAGAGAGACAAAAGGCATATGCAGAGGTTAATATACACAGAGTGATCTATCTGTCCGTACACTGTAGCTTATCAATCTGGGAAAACAGAGGGCGAAATGATGTGCTGCTACATAGGGAAAGCGACGAAGATCTTCATCTTCATTGTCACTCTTCTGGTAGTGACTGGCCTTGTCTTGGGGCTCCACGGATTTATCAGGAAACATCTCAATCACAAGGATGCCGACAATACATCTTGCTCCGCCGATTCTTGCGACCTCACTGCAAACCCTAATTCCCAAATCAATCCCATTTCTGCTTTCCCCAACCCAAATTCTGGTAGTGTCCCGCCAAACAACGGCCCGTCGTCCGCTGCACAGCCGCCGCCTCCGCCGGGGAGTTTAAATCCTAGCCTGAACAATCCCAATTTGACTCCTCCTTCCCCTCAATTACAGGCCTCCACACCTCCACCACCCCAATCGCAGTCCGTCTCCGCTCGGCCGCCATCATTGAGCCCTCCCGGCGCAGCTTTGGTAGCCTCAGGTCCTGTCCATTCTTAGCTAGAATAGGAAGGAGTTTTTTTTATTCATTTTATATTACATTTGGCCCATAGCATTAGCCTATTTTCGGTCGATTCACTTTCTTGTTATTCCTTGTAATGGTGATGATGATTGGCATGAGCCTCTCTACAGGGGTTCTGTATGTGTGGAGATTTTTTTTTTGGGAAATTTTACTTTGCACCCATAGTTTGGGTTATATTTGACTTACCATCTCATTTTTAGGAAAGCCAATATGGTAGAAAGTAAACTTTGTGAAAGAAGAAGGTACACACATTAAATTTTTTGAAAATAAGATGTAAAGTCCAATATTATCCCAATAATGAAATATAAAGTCAAATTCTCCGAATGTGGGAATTTCAATCTTGTATTTGGTAAGTTTGGTAAGTTTTTTAGGTAATAATAATGGAAATGTCTTAGGAATCAACTACCCGATCAGTTTTAAATTGGGGTGAAATCTGCATATACTATATAGATTAATTGAAATGGTTCTATGTTGACATTCTCACCAACTAAATCCTTATCGAACATTCTCATTGCAACATGGGGTTTTTAAAACGCATAACTAACAATTGAAGAGACATAATGTTACATTAAGATAAAAAAGCGTACATTGCTTCTAGAGATATAAAGAGTGATCTATGGACATAACTACTGCCCCCCACGATACTCAATATTCTACGCTTACGAATGGTTACAACATTTTGTGTGCCATTAAGGTTCTTCTTCCACAACATGATACATAGACAGTTCTACTTATTAGCAGAAAAAGTAAAATTTGTCTCATTTGATAAAAGCGGAGGTTAGAAAATGTATTTTCTTTCAAAAGATAAATTTATTCAGTTATTTAAGCAAATATCCATAGAAGAGAAGCTCGTGATCCATATGTGTGCTTATACTATAAGAGTTTAATGTAACAAACTTATACGAAATGTATATATGTTGTATAAGGTGGCATGCCTTAGGCAATTCGACTTGTTGGGGAAACACAATCGATCATCTGTCTCTTTCAGAATCACCTTATAGAACTATTGTACACTCACCCACATGTTGGTAATACAAAGGCTAAATCCAATGGTATCACATTGTATTATGCAACTGAAATGTACAATGCATATTGTACAAGTAAGTAGTTCACTCCACTCTTTGTTTATGAGACTACTTCATTCTACCTCACTCACATACACTCATGAGAAGCCTTCATGGATGGTCTCTTCTCAACGTCATGGATGCTCATCACTTACCGTCATCAAAAGACATCTTTGGATCTCTTCTCTCAGAAGAAGACTCTCACTCTCCTTACTCAATGAGACTTTCACATTCTTAATAGCTCTCCTCAAGGCAATCTCATATGAATGAGGAGTCTCAGCCCTATCTCTACTACTCTTCTCAAGGCTTCTCTAGACCTTTCTATATAGCACTACACTTCTAGATTTTTCTAAGAAGTATCTATAAGTCTCTCTAATCTTCTGCAAAGATCTAAAGAACTCTGCATTTCTTCAAATGTTTTAGAGGCTTCCACACACTTCCACACAGTTCTAGAGAATTTCACACTTCTCTAGAAAACTCTACAATGTTTTAGAATATTATACACTCTCTCACACGCTTCTAGAGAATTCCACACTTCTCTAGAAAGCTAAAAGTATTGTAGAATATTGGGAAAACTGTCAAATGGGTCCTCGAACTTTCATAAAAAGGTCAATTAAGTCCTTCTATAGGAGGTTCTGTCCGGCCGTCGCGATTTGGGGCAGTTCCCGGTGGAATTTTTTGATGAAATTTTTTGAGCATCTTATTCACCAAGTCTAGTTTACTCATACCAAATTTGAGCTAAAAATTCAATCGGTAACACATTCAAATTAATTCTTGAAGATAACTGCGCATTTTTGCGTTCTCGAATTAATTTGAATGCGCTCCCGATTAAATTTTTAGCTGAGATTTGGTATGAGTAAACTAGACTTGATGAATAAGATGCTCAAAAAAATTCATCAAAAAATTCCATCGGGAACCGCCCTAAATCGCGACGACCGGACAAAGTCTCATATAGAAGGACTTAATTGACTTTTTTATGAAAGTTCGAGGACCTATTTGACAGTTTTCCCTAGAATATTCAATACTTTTCTACATACATCTAGAGAATTCTAGACATCTCCGCAGTATAATAAAATACTCATGACCATCTCAATTGAGGAACGAACCCAACATGACTATGAGTCCATTTGATCACTCTAAAAGTATTGAATAAAAATAGAGCCATAAATAATCGTCCATGTTTCCATATTGTACATGTTTTTGAAAAAAGCTCCGACTCCAAGGCTAAAAAATGTGCTCTTTGGGTTACGAATTGCTATCTATACTTTGCAGCGGATCCTTTGCCAATTGCATCTAAATTGACTATAGTCATAAGTACTTTAACATCTGTTAGTCTCTCTAATCTCCCTCTCTCTATATAAATATATATAAATATTTGTGTGTGGATTAGTGCAAGAAAGTTAGCTCATCTTCATTACATTCTCTAATGTTGATCTCCATAACTTTATCTGATGTAGAGGGTAACACGGAACAGCAGTGCCTTCTTGGTGCCAATAACTGCAATTTGAGAGCACATCAACATATAGAGAGTGAATTGTTTATAACAAGATCCACCGTATCAGACCCAAGAACTAGTTGGGTAATTTTTTGAAAGGATTAGATTGAACTGTATGTTTGAACCACGACTTCTGTTAAGTTAAACGGTGGCTAACACATGAAATTTCGATTGAACAACTTCATGAACAACATGCGCAGACAATTTCAATAATTTATAAATTTGCTCCAAAATATTGCTTACAAAATGTAACGTACTTTTGTGAGAGTTTTATGAGAAGTAAGTATTTGATTAAGCATACCTGATTCCGATCAAGGATCAACCTGGTAGAGTGAACTCGGATTTCATCAAGTTTCCTGGGAGAAGCCATGTCAGATCTGCATCTCTCACGGGTCATCTTCGTGTACATGCTCAAGATTCCACTGCCATCGGAAGAAGCGTTTGAAAAGAAGAAAATGGGCTGCCTCCGACAGGGATCAGGGTGGAATGCCCAGGTGTCAAAGTCGTAATACATGCCCTTTCCGCCCTTCTTCCATGGCATGTAGCTCTGCTGCACCCGAAGAGCCTCCGGCAGCCGGACGTGGTTCCCGAACACCTGAACCACATAGCCCCAGGACACTGATACTGTCCAGGAGAACCACCGGTCATAACAGACCGTCTGCTGCAAAATTCGGTGGGGATCCACGTTGGCGGCGGTGTACAGATGCTGGAGGGCCTTGATAATGGTCATGTGCGGGAAGATCGAGAACAAAACGTCCATGTGATGCAGAGAAACCAGAGGCCTCACCGGATGTGCCGCCAACAACCCGAACACGTTTCCTTGAACATCCAGCTAATCATATTCAACACCGTGCCATTCAAAATGCAATAATAATGATAATAAATAAACCAAATAACATTACATAATGGTAGCTATCCTGTCAATCCAAACATGTACTAGCACATAAATTTAGTAATGTAAAAAATTCAGGACGCTTCAAAGTTCAAATTGAGTTCCACAAATTAAGAAATTTCATACATTTACAATCTAAAGGTATTTCATTGAGTTTATTTCAAAAACAACAAATAATCTTGAATTTAAGGCACAAAAGCTAGGGTAATTCTTGTTATACCCAACCTTCATATATTTCTATGCACAGTCTTTGTAACACAGGAAATTGCAAACAATTTTTTAACAAATTGTCCGTGTACACATACAACTAGGGTGTGTATACAAAAAATGTACAAACTTTGTGTACCAATGTAATTTTCCTAAAAGTAATTTTGTGTACGTTTATGTTTCTTAAAATTCACAAATGTATATAAAAAGCTCTATTTTCTCATATCTAAAGTCAGCACCATCGATCCTCCATTTTTACCTTGTTAGGAGAAAGGAAATACTCTGTATCTATCTATTCCCTTAAAATAGCAAATTTTAAAATTGGCATCACTCTTACTAGGGGCTGATGTGAGCCCAGGCCTATATTCCAATCCAAATAGGTGGAATCTCCCAATCCAGGCTACACCGTCCTGACAATATGGTGGAGTAATTACACTATTATTTAAAATATTTGGGGCACATAAAAAGCCATCACATTCAATGAAACTCCCACATCGTCGTTATCGGTAATTGAACCCAAAATCTCAACTTAACTCATTTAGCCACCGTTGAGCTACCCGTGCGGTACTCAGACCCGTACCCCAAGTTTTAGGGTCATAAGATTTAGTATTGGTAATCATAAACTGGGTACACGTGGAAAATGCAAAATCTCCACATCACAAATGAATTTGGAATACTCTGTCATGTGTGAGGACATCACTTGGATTCAATCCATTCATCCTCGTTTTGATCTGTCAATATAATCCTAGCTAGCATTAATGTGATTATGATATCCCTAGGGAGGTCGTCCATGCTCAATTTTCATTCCATTTGGGTTCTATGTTAAGGGATCATATTCCACTCAGGCATATTCTTATGTAAAAAGGACATTTGTCCAGTTCTATAAAGAATGATTGGAAGGATAATTCCACATCCTCTTATCCTTATGCACCAATTATAAAATTCCGATTAAATAATTAGAACACATACATGATGAAATAATAATGACCTCAATTAACCAATACGACACCATGAGTTAATGATGAGTACCATAATATTCAACTTAGTGTAAGCAAGTATTTTCTCTCATATTAGTAACTCGGCGCCTCGGCACTGTCATGCATAATCAAATATTAACATCCTTAAATCCATTTTTATTTCATATCTCATTTATAATAATGCTTTAATATCTCATTTATTATCATAATGTAATATTTGTATTAGTTATTATTTTGTTGTAAGACTGAAATTTATAGTTTTGAAGACACAAATCCAATTATTAATATACTAGTATGTAATTAATTAGTTGCAAGGAAGAATTTTAAACAAAGCATAGGCTAAGTGCATGTTATAATGTTACGTCATAACGTCAAACCACGAAAACTGAGAAAAAATGGAGTAAGGGATATTTATCTATCAAAGAAATGGAACCAGTTGAATAACTACCTGATGAAATCCGGGTTCGAGAGTTAATGAAACACCAAGCTCGGATAAGCAGGCATGGATCCTAGCATCACTTCCATAAAGATGAGGATATCTTTCTATGCATGAATCCAACACTCCAGCTAGGACTTTGGCAAGCGGGTAGCTAATGGCAAAACCTGCCCCTCCAAACGCCATTCCGTAAGAGAAGAACTTGTTCTGCGCATGGCTTTCTGAGTTAGCCCCGATGTAATACCACAGGCCATGGTCATACTTCGACAACGTCTTCACCAGATTCTCCGGGAAGAAGACGGTGTCGTCGTCCCCAAACACGAACCACCTCACGTCTGAATGGTTGAGGGCCACCGTCTCTGACACAACACGCGCCACCCGTATTGCTGATGGCGTCCCCTTCCCTGCTCTGTACGTGTAGCGGAAATGCGAAGTGTCGCCTGACACGCAAACTGGCGGGAGCAATGGTGTGTCGTTATTTGGCGACGTGGCATTGCTGCGGCGTTCGAGAAAAACACACCCCCTCATCTCTGTAGGTCTCCACCACAGCTTGACGTATTCCTTTCGCCTCTTCCATGAATTCTCGTTTGAGGCGATCCCAAAAACGATGTGGCGGAGGGACGTAGGGGATGGGGAGGCATGGTGGCTCTCAGAAACTAGAGCAGGGTGGAGGAAGGAGGACAAGGAGAGGAAATTGGTGTTGGGGATGAGGACGAAGCAACAGACGAAGTACACCGCACAGATGGAAGATGAGATGAGAATGAACGCCTTGAAAGAATAATAACAATGATGGTGATGAGGAGGAGAAGGAGCCTTCATCTTGTTTCTATTTGGATGGTAATCATTAAATTAAATTAGTGAGAGAATAGTATAGGATGGGAGGAGGCAAAGGCTGATGGAGGGGTTTAGGAAAGAAGATTTAAGGTTAATGGTGTGTAATTGTTTTCGCATGGTATGAAGAAGTATGACCACACACTTCGAATTGAAGTGGAGAATGTTACTAGGCTGCTACACATCCTTATTCAAGTTAATCTCTCGTTTTTCATGACAATCTCATCTTTTCATTTTTTGTTTGGTTACATGCCCTTCCTCCTATTGGATTTTGTAACTTTATCTTATTTTGAGTGTTTAAAAAACTTTGCAACTTTACTATTTAAGTAACTAATTTGCGTTTTGTTTATTTATCTCTTCTTTACACAAACCTCAACCACACAATTTTCACATTTTCTTATTTCTCTCCTAATTCTAAATTGACAAAGTTCACCGGGATAAAGTTTGTGTTTTCAAACAACAATTTAAAAAAAAAAACAACGATTTTCATGTTGTTTTTACTAAACATTGACGGAACTAAAGTCGTTGTGTGCCTCAAAATAAATTCAATACTAACACTAATACGTAGTATAGTAAAGCAGAGTTCGTATCCACAAGGAAAGGAATAATTTTCTTTTATGGAACTAGTAATTAAAATGGGGGGTTTTGGAATTGTTTGATTTTAATTAATTAAACACTAAGATGAATGACTTAAATGATTTTAATTAATGAGATAAAAGACTTGATTTTGCTACTTTCCACTTGTTGATATGTTTGTTGATCCCGGTTATATCTATAACTTATCCCCTCTCGAATACTCAATCAAGGAGTATTTCCAATTTATTGAGGGTAGTTATTAATAACCACCGTTCATCAATAACCCTTAATGTTAGCCTAGTATAGGATACCGTCATATACCGACTTGATTGTAGCATTTAATCTCTTAACTCCTTGATGAAATCAATTGAGATTGATAACCTCAACACAGCGATTTTGGTTTAACCAACACAATTAATCCCTCTTAAGATTATTAACCACGACCGTGCATAAATAACCCGAAGTTACATACTTGTGAAACCATCAAGGATTAACCATCGGTTCATTGATCGTTTCTAGTAGTAATTAATGTCAAGATGTTAACTAATTGTCATCTTAGCAACACTCACCAACATTAATATAGAAATAGATTAAGGGGAGAATTAATATTCAAGGGAAGAAGTAAGAAAATAACTCACAACTTTAACATTCAACAAGCTTCAAGAGGAAAATCAAGAAATGAGAGTTTAGCTCCTCATTTAGAGACTAAACAATGTTAGAAAAATATAAAAAAAATACTATTCGAAGTCAAGCTTAAGTATATGGAAGAAGGGATAATTAATATGAAGGAAAAGAGTGCTATTTATAGGTGTTTTGAAGGTGCTGCGCCGGATACCCGACCGGATATTTGAGATACCCGACCGGGTATTTGTCAAACCATATCTTTTTCACGCGTCTTTGTATTCTTCAGCACATCTTTTTTACTTCATACCCGACCGGGTATATGGAATACCCGACCGGGTATATGGAATACCCGACCGGGTATTTCTCCTTTTTCGTTGAAGCTTCATTTTTCTCTTCATACCCGACCAGGTTAAGGCCTTACCCGACCGGGTAAGTCATTAAATCACATTTCTTGCAAGATTTTTTGCTCTCTCGCACATTTCTTTTATCTTGTAAGATATCTTCCATGCACCTTTGTTGTAGACTTATTTATTCAAGTTCAAGATTAATATAGTAAAATAAACTAGAAAAATAAAAGGTTGCACCACAAACGTGCAATTACCACAATAACACGCCATAAAAACTACTCCCTCCGTCCCCCTAAGTTTGTCCCGTTTTACCTTTTTCGTCCGTCCCATTAAGTTTGTCCCATACCATATTAGGTAATGTTTGAGTGAGTAGAATTCATTCTTACTTTATTCACACTTTATCAATTCAATACAAACCACACAATTCTACTTTTTCTTAAAAACCACACCACACCCCTTTGTCCCAAACTTAGGGGGACGGAGGTAGTAATTAAAAGTAAAAACTTAAGCACTCCAAAACCAATGCAATCAAACATCAAGCAAATAGTTGGGGCCTTGCTTTTGCTATGATATCTATTACTCCTTAATTAAGTTCATCTTAAAGTTTCTCGATATGTTTCTCATTGTATTTTAGATATTCTTAAAGATAATATTGTTTCTGTCCCAAACTATTTTGTAAAAAACGATTTTCGAGATTGACTAAGCATTTGATCATCAAAACATGTCTCTATTCATATCAAAAGATTCAGGATCATTACATCAAGCAAAGGGAAAATAACACTGACACCAACTAAAACTCCAACAACTACGACTGTAACCCTATGGTGAGACTTTGAGACGGTCACCCCTGAAAGAGCAACACGTATCGCTAACCATGTAGTGGGTTTGACACAACCAAACTTGTTCCCAAAGATCCAACGATACCCAATGACATAAAAAGAGGCTAAAAACTCAAACAAATTGTCAAAACAAACAACAAATATGAACACAAGAAAACAAATGACAAACAGATAAAAATTACTAGGAAAACTTTCATGGACTCTAGCACCTCGTACAACCCATGGTGGTGGTTCAGGCGGAGGTCGGACCGTCGCTCGATTGATACCCTCTTTCACTAGTGTACCCGCCGCCGTAAGACCCAAATTCATGCCATCGAATGGAGCGTTCAGCCTCTTCACACTAACCATGTCCCGATCATCCCTACGTCTCTCTCTCTCTCGCACTCTCGCTTCTTCCACCATCTTCTCGCTGCCACGATCATCCATCCCGAGCTACGCCCAAACCATAGCAATCCGGCGCAGAGCTGCGTCGATTGAAAGAAAAACGCCGCACCAGGGCGACGAAGAAAAACCCTACGCGAGAGAACTCGCTAGGAAAACACTGATCGAACTTGGATAAAAAAAGATCGAAATCGGAATTATCTAGCTGGGACTTTGCCCTATGAGCTCGTTCGGTGCTTAGGAGCGTTTTACATATACGAAAAGTAGTTAAAATAGCCCCAGGTTAAGAAATTAGTTCCATCCTGATTCTAAACCCACGAGGTTGTCTAAGCATAATAAAGTTAATAATTCCCTAACAATTTTTAAATTAGTGTTAGAAATAAAAAAGTACGTAGTACTCCGTATTCTCTATGCTCTAGAAATATTTGAAAACTTTCTATATTAGGTCATTCAAAAATATGTGATTAAAGTTATTATTATATGCATACATCCTAATCAGCAAATTTGAACAATATAAACTTTGAGAATGATTTTAATTAAACTTGATTATAAATGAGCAATAAAAAATAGGAAAAATTGATAGTAATAATCCCAACTATTGGCGGTTTGCTCATAATAATCCCAACTATTGATTGTTACAGAATAATCCCAACTTTAGGGAACTTCCGCCAATAATGGTCCCTATGAATAAATTCTTGTAATTTATAAAGTGGATGATATGAGATATAACAAGTAATCCATATAAATAATCTCAACTTTTAATTTTTACGCTTAATTTCTATTTAAAATTCACTTTTTATAGAGGTAATATATGGTCATGGACCATTATTGGCGGATAGTCTATATAGTTGAGATTATACAAAAATAATCAATAATTGAGATTATTTTCAACGGACCAGTAATAATTGGGATTATTATTTTTCAATTTTTCCTAAAAAAAAAATAATACAATCAATTTTTACGAGAGTGAGGGCTATGAATTAAGCTTTTTGGGTAAAAAAGTGAGTGCACTTGGATAGAAAATTGGAGCAAGAAAGGGAATGTAGAAAATCAGTCGTTGAAGCAAAGGGGCGATTTCTTTCTCCGACTTGACATCGTCTAGGGCAGGAACATTTCTCCGCAGTGGTAGTCTTCATATTGGTTTACCTGCAGATTGTTTCTATCGCAAACCAGTCGAATCAGAAGCAGCTCAACTATTGAGGGGAGTCGTTCACTCGTCAATTGATTCGTGGGCTCGTCATTGTTGAAGACTTCTCTTACGGGAAAGGCGTCGCATTTGCAAGAATCGAATTTCAGTTTGGCATGGCAGATTACCCTAAAGACAGTTTCATCCAGCTCTTCAAGCGATTCCGCAATTTTCTCTCCGTCAAGATATCCAATGTCTTCAAATCTTCCTTCCTATTTCATGGTTTTTTAAAAAACAGATTGATTAAATAGTTTCCTATTTGGTGTTGGAAAAACTCTATTACTCGCATTTCATGTTATTGCTTCAAGTTCTATTCTTTTTTCCCAGTTATTGATGTTTGATTTAGCCATTTCCTTTTTGTGCTTGAATATAAATGATTTTCTTCTAAATAAGTTTGACACGATTAGATTCGTTTACTGATGGAGACGAATCTAAGCTGCTGGCAAATTTTGGTCGCTATGACCAAAATTGTAAGGCTTGACTGTGAAACTCAAGCCATCTCACTTTCCATTGAGATATTTTACCATCAATTTCATTCGACCCAGTGCTATGCTAGGTGCTTAGAATAGGTATTCTCTTTAGAGAAATTGCAATGCAAAAACATATATTGGAGATGTGAATGTTTTTTTGTTATGGCTCAATCTGTTTTTCTATGGCAGTGTGCTTAGTTGTGTAATAGTCTTGCTGGAATACATATTTATGGGACATGGCATATTCGCATCCACTTATACTATTTTTATCCTTACAATGGTAATTTCAGGATTCTAGATCTGTTGGGGCCTTTGCTGGTCTAGCATTTGCAGTAGTTTTTGCCTGGACACTGTTAAGATCGCCTAGTGGGGGCCAGAGAAGACGGCCTAAGCCGCAAACTGGTGGACCAAGTACTTCCAGTGCAAGCAGTGACGATAGAAACTCAGTTGCTACACCAACAACAGCTGCAAGCATCACTCTGCCTGTAGGCTCAACGGCACAATTTATCTCTGAAAATCTCTCTCAGCCATTAACAGTTGAGTGATAATTTCTCCCCTAACTTCAAGAATATTATTTCAATGAGTCTAAAATTAAAATGTATTGATCAAAT